ATGAGTATACCTCTAGTTCTCGGGAATATGGATGAACCTTGGTATGTATAAGTGTTGAAACGGTAATAAGGATATGATATTCTATGTTGAATGCTTAGTTTAATAATCTTCATGAATGTTGTGAAGGGCCCCACTCAACATTTTTGCATAAGGCCATGAAGGGAATTATTGTCATTGTAAAGATTAGTTAGTGAGGCTAATTCGAGGTGACAGTAAAAGCCCTCACTCCTAGTGTTTTCAATCGATAGGGGAATAATGGAGAACTCTTAGGGATGTCGCATCCACGTAAAACTTTTAATTACCGTAGTGAAAACCTACGGGGGGATTACGATAATGACGTGTATGGTACGAAGTCAACCTAGAGTAGAACGTATTCTGTACATGGATCCTCCTAGCATAAACACTAAGAGTGACCGTGACCAGATAGTATTATGCCATAGCATATGTCGCGCTAGAAATATACTAATGGGATTACATACCCACTGAGAACGCCTCACTCCTATGCCAGTTCACGTGTTACTATTCTTGTTGCTCTCACTACTTCTTTTCATGTTATTTAGTTTACGTTCGCCCTTCACTCAAAACTACTATTTATTACCGCCCTCAATTTTCTTTGAGTCTACAATTACTTACAGGCATAATTTTATAAGTCACTACAAGAGACAGAACCCAATTCATATGCTCCTTGTGGGATCGATACTCTTACTTCGAAAAAGCTACAACTAAACCATGTGCACTTGTAGACCATCAATTGGGCTGAAGCATACAGTGACAAAGTTGATTGGTTAAATCACCTTCGTTGGCGTAGCAAAAACACGACTAATCTCCGTCTAAGTTGAAGTTGAATGTCCGAACACTTTAAGTCATCCAATGACGATCATCAGTTTTGCCCGGACCGGTCTAGACGTCTGAAATCCATAAATCGGCACCAAAATGGGAAGAGGCTTGGGGGCGTCCTGACGTCTGCCATGTCATGCTTCGACAACCCGGGCCCTCTTTTGCCTCTCCTGATGTGTCTGCTCGCTCTCGACGCCACATTCATGTTGGTCACAACGAACGTGACCGGACGGGATTCCAAGCGTACCCGCATTCATGTCGGTTGACTAGTAATCCGCCTACCCGGCATTCACAATGGCGCAGCAAATGAGAAGCCTACTCCATCGGCCCGTGTTCCCCGTCGCTCCACCTACTTGGGCTATTTAAAGTTGGACAAGAATGCCCCAAAACTCTACCCTTCCAAGCCCCTTCTCCCATCGTCTGAGCCACCTACCTATCACCCACCCATTTGCATCCTCATCTTCCATCTACTCTTGCAATGTCGGGGCCTCTCATGGGTGGTGGAGCCGAGGCGATTGTCGCTGCAGCTTCACGTCATCAAGCTTGCATTTCGGCGGGCCAACCCCCAAGCTCTCTGGACCAGGGCTTGGACTACTCAAAGATGGAGGAGGAGGAGGGAAATCCCATGGCGATGGCGGAGGTCCCCATGGAGGAGAAGGATCAGGCGCCCGCGCCCGTGCTGGAGTCATCGGTGTCCATGTGTTAGTCGACTACAGACGGAGCAGCACTACAACCGGGTGCTGGCGGAGGCGGAGCAAGCGAAGTTGTCGGTGTCCGCGTCCCGGTTGCTACAACAGGAGCATCGATACAGCCTGGCCTCCTCGAGGAGCACTGGCTGGCGAAGGACCAACTCTCGGTGGAGTGCGCGTCTGAAGATGCCATCCCGTGCATGGTTGCGGCGGACCAAGGCATTGTCAACAAGTAGCGGGCCATGCTCGTGTCCGTGCACAACGCCCGCAAGTGTTGGCAGCTCCGCATCGCCTGATCTGCTCTGTTCCGTGCCAGCGCTGGTCCCTGGCGGCTGCGGTCGGCGTTTCTTGGTGATTGCTGGCCGGATT